TTCCTAAGATTTCTCTCATATTATTAGAGAAATAAACAGCTCTTATACAAGAGACTTTCCCTACTCCTGCATCAGTGGGTCAAGAGACGAACCAGCAGGATGAAGATCAGAATGGTATTCAAGATCTTAGAACTGTTGAGTCTCCTTTGTCTCTACCCTCTCCGATGATTCCTGTTCAGCCGCTCTGGGAACATGAAAGATCCAATGCAAACTGGCCTTCAAATGACTTGAATCAGCACATGGGGATGGTATGTGACTTTGTTTAATGTCTTGTGATACTTGGGTTGAATCGTTGAAGCATTCACATTGTTTCATATCAGAGAAGCTCATTGGTGTTGCTGTAATGCTTTTCTGTGGTCAGAAATGGCACTTTCATCTCTTAAACTAATGCCTTCCGTTTGGTCATGCTAAATGCATTTATGGATCTTCTGCAATTTGACATGGATTTTTTTGTCTCCATGGTGTATCTTCAGGACTGGGAATCAGCAAACGATATGAGGATTGACATGGCCAGGCTGCAGCAGAGGATGAACAAACTGCAGAGGATGCTGGAGGCTTGCATGGACATGCAACTCGAGTTACAGCAGTCAATAAGGCAAGAGGTCTCTGCTGCGATGAATCGAACCCCTGGCCCGTCAGGTTTCCATCCTTACCATTCGCTTTTTGATCGTCAGAAATTTGGTTTATGCGCTTACAACATTGTTTTAGGGTTTGTGCAGGTTTTTGCTAATTCTTTTGAGCTCTTTTGGGTTGTTCTTACTTCTTTTGGTTTATGCCCTCGATTAAATCGCAGGGACATCAGAAGAGGAGGAGAAGACAGCATTTGAAACTAAATGGGAGTACGCAAGGAAAGGAATCTGCTGCATATGCTGCGAAAACAGCATCGATTCTCTGCTGTACAGGTGCAGATCTTGACCCTGAGATTAATCATTTCATATTAAGATTTTAAGAGGATGCTACTATATCTGCATGAGGACCATAAAATGGTTGAGTCTGAATTGATGGGGATTAGAGAGAATGATATGGGGAATCGTGGGTGATGATTTACAGGTGCGGACACATGAATGCGTGCCACAAGTGTGCGAGGGAGATGGTGGAAGCCGGAGAGAAATGCCCGATGTGCCGAGCTCCCGTGGTGGAAGCCGTCCGTGCCTACCCCTCCCTCCTCTGAACCACACACACTCTCTCTCACACTAAAAGGTTGGTTTCATCAGAGACTCGGATGGAGCCCAAAGGGCCAGAGAAAATGATCCCCCCAATGTCGATTTGGAGCCCTTGCGTTTTTATCTATAGGGTTTTGGCAAAGAGGGTTAAACTCTGTTCCCATTCTGCTATTAATTAATTATTCTATCGGGGTTTGTAAGAAGAAAGAACCAGAGTTTTTTTTCCTCCAGTTTTTGTTAATACTCACAGGAAACCAAAAAAAAAGTGAAAAACAGAGAAGATCTTTGTGTTGTACATATGGCACTACTTTGATGTACTTTTGATCTGCCAGTTGATGATCACTTATATGGAATGCCAACTGTGTGCGTGTGCGTGTGTGTGTGTGTGTATATAAAATGTTGTGCCATCATCTCTCTTTTCCCTGCTTTGATTCCAAATCTTTAAAATGTTTTCGAAATTCAAAAACAGAAATGGAAGAGGGTTTTGTGAAGTTTTTCTAAACCTCTGAACTAGACAGAGGCTCCTAACCCTCTTCTCATAACTTCTATCTACCACTCTCATGATCTTCCAATTTTCCGATTGCCGATTACTGATTTCTACTATTTTTTTTTATTATATACAACAAACCCGCATATTATACTTGCAGAGATTACAACAAGGATCATATACGAAGGCAGGAACATGAACGTATGGATAGCCTCATAAATAATTCGATCCATAGACTGAATTAGAATTCACGTTTGAACCCTAAGTATCAAAGAGATGACGATGATAACTTTTATGTGTATATATACGTAACCAAAGTATTCCTAATATTGATTTTTTTTTTGTTTACAAAAAGGGAGAAAAAAAAAAGAAAATACATACTGCAAGAATATCTCGATATCAGGCGCTCCTACATCTCCTCCTCCTCTTAACGACGGCGTTCTGACAACGAAAGAAAGATTCCACCTCTTCACGGCCAAAGTTAGTGTCTTCGAAGAACCGTGGATCCTCGGACAGTCTCCTCTTCCTTGTCGGAAGAATCTCCGGCCGTTGCTTCCTCGGCGCCGGCGGACATTTCTCCGTCGCGGGAATCCTGTGATCACTTGAACTCGGCGTCACGGCCGACCCAAG